CCTTTTTTTGATGGTGTATTTTCATATTTCTGTTTCCTCTAACAAATTGGGACATTCCTCAATGTCAAGACTTCTCTTCTGGGTTTTCTTTTATAAGTTTTAAAGTTTTATTTTACTTCTTTTGTTTGGCATTATGATGCATTTTAAGTTAGACTTTGTATTGGGCATGATGAAGTAGAAGTCGGTATTCATTTTTCCTTACGAACATCATATTCAGTTCATTTCTGGATTCCTTTGTCCTGTTGCATTGATATATGTCTTAAACAGCTACCCAGATTATCTTGAAATTGAGTAATGTAACTATGCTAAGTCCTTTTCATTTCTAAATAAATATTAAAGAAGCTCCAATGGTGGTGGTGGCGGTGACAGCGACCGACCCCCCCAGAAGTTGCTTGCGGACAGTGCACGTTGTAGGTGAATCAAACAAGTCATTATTTTATGGCCAAAAAATATTCTATTGTGTAGCTGTATATTCGTCACTTCATAAATGTCTGTACCTTTTGTGTGTGTTTTCATTTCTCATGGGTGTATGCCTGAGGGTGGAATGACTGGGTCATTGTAGTTTTTGAACAACTTGCTAGACTTTTCCAAATGACTGCACCATTTAAACTCCCACCAGCAGTGTATGATGGTTCCAGTTTCTCCATGTCCTGATCAACCTGTAGTTTTTATTTTCACTATTTTAATTGGTGTGATGTGGCATCTCATTGTGGCTTTGATTTGCAGCTCCCAGGCAGTACCTTTCCTGCTTTATTTTTGGGTTATTTTTTTAAATAGTTCACTTTATTTTTTTTATTGGCTGTGTATTCTGTGTGTGCATGTGTTTTAATGATTCTAGGGTTAGTAACATGCTTTTTTAAGTTATCAGAACTATTCAGAATTCTTACTGTCCGCTTTCTCATCTTTTGTCTGACAATTCTGGCTGTCCAATTCATATAAATAGTATTTAGGGGCCCAGGAATTTTCTTCTTGTCTCTTTTCTCTTTTTAAAGATTATGCCTGTTGACTGCCAGTTGCTTTATCACTTTGTTAGTCAATGTAACATTCATTAATACATGTAAAAATGTTTCTGTACTAAAACATGTATTTTGTATCTTAGTCATCTTTCCCTTTAATTTAAAATTGCCATGAGTTTAGCCTCCCTGGTGTTGCAAGGGGTTAGGCACCACACTATGAAGCAATCCGCAGCCTCTGCAGCACTAGTTCAATCCCTGGCCAGCCAGGAAGCAACCCACATGGCGCAGCAGACCTCTCCTGACCGGCCCGCTGCTCCCTTCAGCAGTGTATTTCAGTCAGTCTGCCTGTCCTGTTCCCCACTGTCTCTGGTGAATCCTCTCACCCCCCCCCCTGCGCCCCCCCCACGCGCCCCCCTCCCCCCCCCCCATCTCTGGCCTTTACCCAGCTCTTGTATGCATAAATAAATAAATCTTTGAGGAAAAAAAAATAAAATTGCCATGATTTTAACTTATCCTGGCTTTCACAATAATTTCACACTGTCAGTGGTAGCCACTGTCAGTGCAGTAGTTGTTTTGAATGTGGCTGCCCTGTGCACGTGTGTGTTTCATTTGCTTCACAGACAACGGTGACAATTGAGACTCTGAACTGTACTTCCCCGACGTCGTTGTTTTGTGGGTTTTTTTTTTTTTTGATTAGTCTTTTTTTAATTTTTATTTATGCATAGAAGAATTGGGTTGTAGTGTAGACCAGGTGTGCGGGGAGTGAGAGGATTCACCAGAGACAGGGTGGGGAGCAGAACAGGCGAATTTGCTGAAATACACTAAGGGGAGCACCGGGCAAAACAGGAGAGGTCTGCTGTGCCATGTGTGGGTTAGTTCCCTGGCAGGAGAACAAACACAGGCTGAAGCGGTGAGACTTAACACAGGCTGAGACTTAACCCTTAGGCCACCAGGGAGGCCGCTGATACCATATCTTAATTGCTCCTGTACAGGTAGGTTATGGGTACCCTTTCATGACTAAAAGAACTCACATATGCCTCAAAAGAACTCCAGAGTTGTCTTTTTATCTGTGATCTTCTAAAACAAGATGCAGATATTAAAAATTTGTAGCCCTGTATAATAAAGAGTTCTGCCATGTCCAGCCAGCTGAGACTTGTATTAAATAGTTCACTCGGGTCATGTCTCCCTTGTCATTATTGGTCTCACCAGTAGAAGCATGTCTATAGCAAACTGAGAAATTTTCTGCTAAGGTTCTAAGAAATGGCAAACTGGGAGTTTGGAAAGGTGGTTCTGTATCCCCCCACTGCACCCCCCACATACACATACAGTTACAAGGGAAAGAGGTAATTAAGAGCTGTTCATTTAAGAACATTTGGAACTTTTTTTTTTTTTAAGATTTATTTATGCGTTTAAGAACTGGGGTGTAGACCAGAGGCATGGGGAGGGGAGGCAGTGAGAGGATTCAGCAGACACAGAACGGGGAGCAGAGCAGGCAGATCTACTGAAATACACTGCTAAGGGGAGTAGTGGGCAGACAGGAGAGGTCTGCTGCAATGTGGGTTGGCTCCCTGGCCGGGCGGGGATCAGGCCATCACAGTGATAGCGCTGAGACTTGACCGCTAGACCATCAGGGAGGCCCTGGAACTTTTTTCAAATATAGACCTGATTGTGTTTAGACTTCAGTTGGTTTGATCTTCTTATTACCCAAATTCTACTGAAATATTTTGCTATAATTCAGAAAAATGAGAAGCATTTATGTAATTAAAAGAGAATTGCACTGGGCTGGATAATCTAAACTTTAGAGAGGCAGTCTGAGAAATATAAAAATTATACATGTTGGTAGCAACATAGTGCCATCATACTTGTCTTTAAGTAGCAAAATCAGAAAGTGCTAGCAAAATTGGTCAGTTTTTGGAGAGAGAATATATGTCCTGTAAAAGGTTAAGATCTTTAAGTAGAAATTAATAGCCTAATCTTTATGTCCTATAAAAGGTTAAGATCTTTAAGTAGAAATTAATAGCCTAATCTTTTTGCTTACCTGAACCTTTTTGTTTCAGGTACCCTAGGCCAGTTTATCTTTATTCTTCAAAAAATTTATTTTTCCCCCCTCTCATGAATTTCTGATATTTAAAAGAATGGAATGTAGTTTTATATGAGGTTTATCTATGTGCAAGGAAAATTAATTGCCTTGAATTGTAAGCCCTCAAGTATCTCTTGGTAAGGTGGTATGGAGTTGCCTTAAGAAAACTTTTAGCGTAAGTGATGTAATTGAAACTGAGTAGGATAATAGGGCTATTGGAAAGGAATCTCAGACATGCAATTCTTTGAGACAAGTAGGGGCTTTCAGACAGAGTGTAGACACAAAGAACAACACTGTTTATACACATAGAGTGTTTGCTAGACTGGTATGCTTGTGCTTTCTTTTGCATCATGTTAGAGTGAAAGGTCTCTCTGGTCTGGCCCAGCTGGTCTCCTGATGCATCTTCGAGCTATGCTGCTATTCTGGTGAAATGATCTTAATGCTTCTTACCACCACTTTGAACTACTCTTTGCCCAGCTCCACCCTCCCTTGGGAAGCACCAGCTTCGCAGACAGTGGCGAGGAAGCCAGTGCAAACCCACTAAGGTTCACGTAGGGACTCACATGTCACTGCTCATACTTTATTGTGAATGCTGATATGAAATGAAATCTGTCAGAACCCAACACAGCTACGGTGCTGTGTTTTGATACTCACATTTTCTTCAGTGAGATACCAGTAGTAAGAATAGAAAGTTTCTTCCCTCTCTGAAAAGTAAAATGTTTACTTTCTCGTTTGCATAAGGTCTGATGATTTTTTTCCCCCATGAATATTTTCTCTGACATTTTCCACAAATAAAACTACTATAGAATATGGCGGTTTGGTAAATACATCTTTTTAAAATTATATTCACCTATGATCCCTCTGCTTAATGAAGGGGAAAAAATTAAAAATCAAGGTTTAAAGTGAAATTTTACCCAGTTTCTTTTTTTCTTAAAGATTTATTTATGCCTACAAGAACTGGGGTATAGGCCAGAGGTGGGGGAGTGGTGGTGAGAGGATTCACCAGAGTGAAGAGCAGAACAGACAGATCTCCTGAAATCCACTGCTGAGGGGAGCAATGGGCGAGACAGGAGAGGTCTGCGGCACCATGTGGGTTAGCTCCCTAGATGGGGATCACACTCAGGCCTCAGCGGCTGGTGATTGCTAGATAGCACTGAGACCTTAAGCCCTGCACCACCCATATTCTTTAGTGGTTAAGATACAGAATAACCTCTGGCAATTAAACAGCCCTTTATTATGTTGGCTACTATAAGGTAACAATCTAAAATGCAGTGGTGGGATTGCCCAGCTCTAACCAAAAAAAAATTTGTTTCCATCAAGCGGTCTTAAATTTTCCTATGGAAAGCTATCTTCACAATTTAGAATTTATTTTATAACATGCCCTAAAGTTTACATTTAATAGAATATGAAATTATACTTGCATTTTGGAGTAGCTACGTATAGGCTGGTGAATATTTCCCATCTTTGCTTCTTAACCTGAAGTAGAAATGAATAAAGGTAGGCAGACTGAGTTTCTTTTTTGTTTGCCGTCTAAGACTGGGACCTAATTTTGACCTCAACGTCCATCCGATTTATTATATGTGTCTCCTTACTCTGTGGACGGAGATAAGATTGGTGCCTCAATTTTATAACTTAGACTGTTGATGATTAAAATTTTTGCTATTTCACCAAATGTGCTGTTTATGGCTTAAAACAACCTGTTCTCTGAGAAACCCTCTTAATAGCTTTGCCTTCAGGATTTCCCAAAATATAACTATCCATGTAACAGTGTAGAGACACGAAGTGACAGTGTAAAGTGTAGAATATTTTACACTAAGTGTAAAGACTAATTCCTGTTAGTGTTTTGTTTGTTTGTTTTCATTTCCTGCTCTCCAAAGCTTGTGAACTATCAGACTATCAGTTCTCCCCTGTCCCCATCCATCCTCTATATTAATGTATTCTTGTGTTTGGGGCCATTTGGTCAGGCCTCAGACATTCCACAGCTACCTAGAAGACATCATCAACTACCGCTGGGAGCTTGAAGAAGGAAAGCCCAACCCTCTGCGAGAAGCCAGCTTCCAGGACCTGCCTCTGCGCACTCGCGTGGAGATCCTGCACCGCCTCTGTGATTATCGGCTGGACGCGGACGATGTCTTCGATCTTCTCAAGGTGCTCTACCTGGCAAGCCCTTTTCCGAAGCCAAAAAAAAAAAAAAATCAGGATATTAATCTGAAGATACTAAGAGAAGCCCAGTTTGGTTTTTATTACTCTGTGTTTATACATCATTTTGGTTTAATTTCTGGTTGGTTTTTCTCTTCCTTTACATGCATACCACTGAGTCTGAGCTAACAGGAACAGTTCAGAGCCCCTGTGTGATCTCCTTGTCAGCAGCCAAAGTTATAATTGGCCACTGAATTGTATTTCCCAAGAACTTTAACTCATATGCAAGTGCAGTTCATCCCTACTGTATATACATTTTACATACATGTTACAAAAATTGTTTTGGGGAAAGGAAGTAAGGACAGCTCTTCCCTTCCCCCTTATTCTACCTGTTTTAGAAGTCTATCTCAGAAGGAGGGTGTGGACTATTGCTTTTCATTCCTAAGGGGGTAGGTTTCTAATCCTGTTCAGTCAGAACCGATTACATGTGCTTATGGCTTCTCAGTTCAGCCATGCTCATGGACACATTATAAAAATCATCGGGGGCGATTTAGCAAAGTCTATGCTGGGAATTCAAGGACTTCAGTAGCAGAGGCAAGGCCAGTACAGGTCAGACCCTGGGGTAAATTGGGAGCTGTATTGCTGGATCTCAGCTGGAATAAGAGATTGCTCTGGGTCATTATGGAGCCAGAGTAGAGGATCACGTGGGACCACACTCACAGCAATGTCTCTACTCTGTTGTAATTATCTTTCCCTGTTAACAGAGGCACATATAAAACAACACTGACTCCAAACCAGATCTACAATATGTTCATCAAAATTCCTTTTGGTTTCTCTCTTTCTCTCTCTCTCTCTTTTTTTTTTTTTTTTTTTTTTTTTTTTTGGTAAAAAAGCAGTGATGGGAATGGGAAACATTTGAGCTATTCCCTATCCTGTTCATCAAGGAAGATAGCACTTTGGCATTCTAATGTTTCCTATGCCCAAAGGGACCATAACATAAGATGCTTGGGCATTTTAAAATAGGAGTATCTGAGTAAAATGTTGAATCTTCAGTTTTCCCCTGTTTGATTTTGTTTCCCAAACCTCTTTTTCTTGTCCTTCGACTTAGGGTCTGGATGCAGACAGTCTCCGCGTGGAGCCACTGGGTGAAGACAATTCTGGGGCACTCTATTGGTATTTCTATGGGACACGAATGTATAAGGAAGACCCGGTACAAGGAAAATCCAATGGAGAACTCTCTTTGAGCAGGTACCTTTTTCAAGGTCGGGGCTGTGATGGCTACTGTAGGACAGTGTCATTAAATTAACTACATTGGAATTCTGCAGCCTAGTGGTTTGGTTTTTCTTCTTCTTCTTCTTCTTCTTCTTCTTCTTCTTCTTTTGAAGGAATTAGTTAAAACAGCACACCTGCAAAGAGATGTAAATAATTATTACATGCAGGAATTAATGCATAGCCTCTGCCATTAGGATGTTGAAAGGTGGTATTCTGATATGTGGTTCTTGAGCTGAGGTTTTTGCAGAGGGCCATGCCCCTTACCGTGGGTGATCTGTGCAGCATACTTCTCTCCATGACCAACGTCTTGACTGCAACAGTTTTCCTCTTTACAATTCCCCAGGACTCATGTTTTTACTGGAATCAATGTTCTGTTCCCTCCGTGTAAGACCACCTTAGTGAATAAATGAAAAGTAAACCTCCTGAAAGCTTCCCAGAAAGGAGGAAGTCTCCTTTCCAGAAGAAAACGACCATATTGTTGTATTTAGACTTTTTTGCTGCTTGGAGCAGTGCTCACGCTTAGTGTCAGTTGGGTCTTACTCAGATTTTAATACTACAAAATGTCGGTTTTCCCTGGTTCTGCATTCTGATAAGGAAGACAGGGCGTCGGAAGTTTTGCTGCCCTTTGCCTGTGATTACTGCATCTAATCCTCTTTGTAACCTCATTGCTAGAAAAACTGTAACTACTGATTTAAAAGTCATATGGTACATGTCAATTCTGCTCAAGAAGACTTCTGTTTAATATACTATTTCTTAGGGAAAGTGAAGGACAAAAGAATGTCTCAAGTGTTCCTGGGAAAACAGGAAAAAGAAGAGGAAGACCCCCGAAGCGGAAGAAACTACAGGAGGAAATTATAGCGAGGTAAGAAAAATATTCTGTGATGGTCTAGACCCTCAGGCTAGAAAGGACCTTGGTTTCACTACTTCCTCCATTTTCACTTGAACATGGGAAAGACATGGGACTGAGTTTATGGACACCTACCTGATCAGTCGTTGCGAAATGATGTTGTGCGCACTAGGCAGTCAGGAAGCCCAGGTTCTCAAAGCCCTCTGTCTACCAGATACCTCCCGCTAACCCTGTTTTTTTATTTGACTGTGGGGATACTAGTAATGACAAGAATTAAACAAGACAGTGCATGTGGCAATGAAAAAAAATATAAAACCAATCATGAACCATAGTAGCTGCTCAATCAGTAGTACTTAAAATTCATTATACCACAAACATTTTAATAGCTATGTAGAATAAGTTAATTCTATGGTTAAGTGTTGACTAATAATCAGTATTTTAGTAGAATTATATATCATATCTGAGCTTAGAAGTTTTCTCAATTAAGAAGATTTTAGTCACAAACCTGCTTTATTTTATTTAGAATACTACTTCCTACAATAAAAGATCCTAAGCATTTTATGTTCTTTTATACTATACCAAATAAAAAAGATTCTGCTACATTTGGGCAGTTTTATTTTCTACACTATTATCTTTTAGGGAATTCCACCCTGTAAATCTTGATATAAGAGTTCCCCTATACTTAAAAGGCAGGCCCGTCATTATACACCTAAGTTCAACCATTTTTTTAATAACACAAAATAGCTTCTTTCTTTCTTCAAAACATTGCAACTCCTAAAAAGTGTGAATGCTGGCACTTAGGCAAGGTTTCACTGTATTTCTATTAACCACTAAGAAGTATGTCTAGGAATTACATTATGAATAAATAAGAATTTTGTTTTGTTTTGTTTTTTTTTACTCTGAAGAATCAGTGTTCCACTTAACTTTGCAGAAATTTGACTACAGATTGTAGCTTTCTTCCCAGCAGTGGGAAGAAATAATATAGACATAGACAGAAAACTTCTCTCATAGTATAGATAGAGAACTATTTTGTACCTGTCTCCTTTTCCCTACAAAGTACAATAGTGCTGGGAATAGAGAATCATTTTAATAAGCATATGTGGACTTCTGCTACCCTCTACTGGTGATTTTATTCTTTAGAGCAGTGTATCCAACACAGCATTTAAATATTTTTAAATTAAATAAAATTTTAAATTCCTTTCCTCGGTCACTCTTGGCCACATTTCAAGTGTTCGGTAACTACAAGGGGGCTTTGTGGCTACTGTTCTGGACAGCAGCAACACAGAATGTTTTCACTCTTAGAAAGGTCTATGGAATACTGCTATTATAGATATTTGACCTCAAACCAAAAAATCCACAGAAAATGTCATATTGATTCAGGGATACAAATGATAGTGATACTTAACAGTGTTATGCTGAACAGGTTTATTTTTATTTAATCTACAATATTTATATAAAATAGACATTATTAATAGTCTCATTTTATGGTAATTAACTTCTGAGGTCAAATGGTAAGTGACACACCTTGAAAAGGGACAGTCTTGACTTCAGAGCTTATGTTTTTAAAATCTGACTTACATGAGATTAAATTAAGTCTTCAGCGTAAGCCCTGAATCAAGGGGAGATTTGCTTGGCATTTAACTGTTAACACCTAAGTATGGTTTATTCCCCAGCATCGATGTTGTTACCATAGCATTGAGTTCCTATGTATAGGTTCTTCCTCTTTATACGAGTACACCTACACCCTTGATCAGTAGAATTGTTCCTTCTCCTAACCTTGCCCCCTTATACACACACACTTCCCCGTCCTTGTTTTAAGTTAATTGGGTCTACCTTCTAGGGGAAGTACAGAACAATTTAGACATGTCTTTGTTTTAATTGATGCCTCCTTTTCCTGTGTTTCAGTGAAAAGCAGGAAGAAAACTCCTTGGCATCTGAGCCACAGACAAGAAATGGTAATAATCTTTGCTAGAGTTTAGAAAGAATTCTGTAAACTTTGTTCATTTGTATTATGATGGTGACTCTATTGTTTCCCAGAGTCATGAAATAAGACTGTTGCAGGAGCCTCCTAAGTAGCCTGCCTTGCCCCTGATCTGTTCTTCTCACTTTCTTCTGGGCCCATCTCTTTGATGAACAACGTGAGATCAGCCTAGATCTTTCTACTTGTCCTGTTCATTACTTGAGCACGGTATAGTAAACCCCAGACATTTGAATGAATGAGCATCTTTTAATCTACTTCATACGGGAGTACACTGGTTTCTTACCTAGACTTTAGTTCTGTAATCAAAATAGCATGAGTTGGAGGGAGGGGGGTTATCAATGTATTGTCTTTCAATATAAGTGAAACCAGGAAAACTGCAAAAGCTCAAGTCAAGCCATTTGCGTAGAAAAGTAAACACGGGCCTCCCTGGTGGCGCAGCGGTTGAGCGCTGGGTTGCGAAGCTGCCGGCAGCCTCTGCAGCACCAGTTCGATCCCTGGCTGCTCCCCGGCCACTGGAGGAGGGTCCCACATGGCGCGCAGACCTCTCCTGCCGCCCGCTGCTCCCCTCAGCAGTGTACTTCGGTCCTTCTGCCTGCTCTGCTCCCTGCTCTGGCTCTGGTGAATTCTCTCACCCTCCGTGCTTCTGACTGTACCCAGTGCTTGTATAAATAAATAAATAAATCTTAAAAAAAAAGTGAATGTTTAAAAAAAAAAAAAAAAGAAAAGTAAACACACTTAAGCATTTCTAGGGTATTAACATTTCTGTTAGGCTAGGGTGTTAGCATCTGTGAGGATCACAATAGTTGCATTTGTACTAGTGAATAATGATCCTAATAGGAAAATCAAAAGTAAACATTTATCAACCCTAAAATAAAAAATTGTCTCCTTTTTCTCTGTCCCCTGGTTTTAGTCATCACCTAGGGTAAAAAACAAAATTGAGAACAGTAGGAAAAGGGTCCTTAGAGGGCTCTGTTTAATGAATCCACCCCTCTTTTATAGGGTCCCAAGGGCCAGGTCAAGGCACTTGGTGGCTCCTGTGCCAAACAGAAGAAGAATGGAGACAGGTCACTGAGAGTTTTCGGGAGAGGACCTCCCTTCGAGAGCGGCAGCTCTATAAGCTCCTCAGTGAGGACTTCTTGCCTGAGATCTGCAACATGATTGCCCAGAAGGTACGCAAATGGGTGATCCTTCCTTTATATTAGGTATGAAAAGGCATTATTTAAGGATTGTTAGTTTCTGAATACATCCACTCTCCTGTAGATGATACAGGCCTCATCTCCTCTGATGTGGGTATAAAAATGGGACGTCATGCCTCATACTCTCTCTCCTTCACTGCAGGTTACAGAATATTCTTACTCCAAGAAGTCTGAATACCCACCTTCTCTAACACTTACCTAGCTTTTCAGGATCTGAATCAACTTTTTTTCTCCCATAACATTCCTTGGGAAATGTTCCCTGAGGCCCTGTGCATATCTACCTACACCCTTCCCCCCATACCTCCCTCTGTACATACCTTAGTTTATCTTTTTAAATCATTTTCTATGGTCAGTCTCTCCCCTCCTCAGCAAGATATTTCTCTTTGTAGTTCTAGTGCCAGCTCCTTGCTGATTTAACTGAAAACTTTGTGTCTTCTCCAACTTCAGGGCAATGTATGCTTCACAGACCATGTCTTATATTTTCATGCATATGCACCCTAATTCATGACAATTCCGAACATCTTCCTCCTCTTTTTCCCTACCCATTTGAATAAGGACTCTCTCAAAAGTTACATTTTAAAGTCATCATCTACATGAGCTGTCCCATTTTACTAAATTTCATCGTGAGTCATTCAGAGTTCTCCAGATGAGGGGCCATGTCTTACTCATCCCTTTTAACTCCCACACTGCCCAATATAATCCTTTTCCTGTGGTGGGTGCTCAGTAATCATTCAGTATGCCTGTTTCTTTACAACAGTGTAATACTTTGGATTGTTAATGCATGTTACTAGATGACAGAAAAATGTGACCACCAGGCAACAAAATCTGAAGAGCAGGTATTTATAAATGATTGCTGCAGTACCTTCAGAGAAGTATCAAGTAACAAATATATTACTTAATTTTTTGTGAGTCCAGTGATATTTCTAACTTTTAAGTAGATTGATGCTGTAGGAAAAATTTTAGAAAGTCACCTTTCACTAGTAGTAGGGACTTTAGTTCAACAAGAATTGCATTTTCGGGGCCTTCCCGGTGGGTTGAGCACAGCGCTGCACGGGTTCAATTCCCGGCCTGCCAGGGAGAAACCCACGTGGGTGGCAGACCACTCTTGTCTCGCCTGCTGCTCACCTCAGCAGTGTTTTTTGTCCATCTGCCTGTTCTGTTCCCCGCTCTGTCTCTGGTGAATTCTCTCACCCTCCCATGCTTCTGGCCTGTACCCAGTTCTTGTATAAATAAAACAAATCTTTAAAAGAAAAATTGTATTTTCATGCATGAACAAAAAAAAATCTGCATTTTTCCCCCCTCAGTATATTTATAGAGAAGAAAAATATGAAACAACATAAACCTTACTTATAGCTCTCCAGAACCAAAAAATTAGAAACTAAAAGAAGTAATAATGCATTGCTATTTTGAAAGATATACAGTGTTCTTAATTTGTAGACTTCAATGAAATGCATGTTGTATTGATTACAAAGATAAGAGAATCTAAATTGTACAGGAGGAAATCTTAGCAGAGCAGTAATTAAGAAGTGTTTTCACAAAAGGATCTCATCAAAAACTCCAGAATCATCTGAATTTATTCACAGGTAACATTTTCTAAGCATTCAAGAAAGGATAATTTGCCAACACTTCAAAAATTAAAAAAAGAGAGAAGCTACCCTGTTCATTCAACTATAGTGTCTTAGATCTGTATTCTTGGTAAAATTAAATACATTCATTTCTTTGAGTAATATGTATGTTAAGTCCTTAATCCTGACAAGTGAAAAGCATCTATCTTCAACAAAGAAAAAATACAGTGTAACCTATGAAGTATTACTGGTAATGTCAGAATGAAGTCTTGTCAATGTGACATAACAAAAAAAACAGTAAGTGGCAACATTTTTAGAATGTTTTGCCTGGAGGAATAAGAATTCACTTATAAAATATTAGAGTTTAGTAACTATAGTTCCTATAACAGAATCACCTTGCTTGCTAATTAAAAAAGATTGGATAGAAAAAAATCTTAAGCTCTCTGCATTTACATTGCAACATCTCATTTAAAAAAACAAAACTTGAGGCGCTCTGCACACATGGGTTCAGCAGAGCCGCCTCTTCTTTGTAGGGGCCAGTGCTTTCTTCAGACAACACTGAAGGGCGAAGTGAACATGTTGGGTCTATTTGGGCCTGGTCACCAGAAGCTGCTTTTAACTCTGGCAATGTATGTTGTGCCATCAGTGGCCCCTCCGTTGACTTCAACTGCATGGTCTACATGTTCTAGTGCAGTTCCACCCAGAACAAGTTTGGCAGCACAGTAAAGGCTGAGAATGGGAAGATTGTCATCAGTGGAAAGTCCATTGCCATCTTACAGGAGCAAGATCCAGCCAGCATCAAATGTGGTGATGCTGATTGTATAGTCCATTGATGTCTTTGCTACTGCCTTTAAGAAGGCTGGGACTCACGTGTAGGGTGAGGCCAGAAGGGTCATCATTTGTGCCAATGCCCTATGTTTGTGATAGGGATGATCACATAAAATAGGACAACTCCTTCAAGATTGTCAGCAATACCTTCTGCAACACTGACTGCTTGGTCACCCTAACCAAGGTTATCCATGACAACTTTGGCATCATGGATGCACTCATGACCACGGTCCATGCCATCACTGTCACCCAGAAGACTGTCTACAGCCCCTCTGGGAAGCTGTGGTGGTGACCGGCGGACTGCATGGGCTTGGGGTAAGGTCCTCCCCAAACTGAACTGGATCTCACAAGCGTGCCTTCTGCATCCCCACCCCAATGTGTTGGTTGTAGATCTTACCTGCCACCTGGATAAAGCCACCAAATATTGATGTAGTAACATCAAGAAAGTGAAGCAGGGGTTGATGCTGGAACTGGTATTCCCTCAGTGATCAGTTGTTCAAGTTCATCTCTTGCTCTGTGAATTTGGCCACAGCATCAGGGTGGTGGACACCAGCCTGAGGATGAGCACAGAGGAAGAGAGGCGCCCCTCAGCTGCTGGGATCCCTTCCCCACCCATCTGTCGCAGGTGCATCCCAGACCCCCTGGATAAGGGGGGTTGCTTAGGTAACCCTGCCATGTACCATCAATATAGCACACTGTACTCAAGTCCCCATCCCCCAAAAATAAACTGAACAAACAGATGAAGTTTTAAGAGGACAATTTGTGTGGAAGGGTCATATGGTTGGTGAGTGGACATACATTTATACATTAAGTTAAAATAATTGCTTGAAATGTATACATCTTTCAAATTCCTTGCTTTTTTTTACTGTGTTACCCTAATACTGCCTACCTATCCTAATTGTATTAGTCAAGAGTTTTGTTCTAATGAAAAAAATGCCTATGATTCAAATGTGACCATTAAAACATATATCAGTAGGACATAATGAGATACAAGTAGACACCATTACATTTTAAACCAATTTGTAAAAGACAGCGCCAACAAACTTGGACAGTGGATGGACAAAGGGTTAATGTAGTATAAAGAGTCATAAGCTTTTGATCTTTTCTTTCAATTTTGAATTATAGAGCTTCCCTTTTCTAGCTATCTCTAAGTTTCTATTTTCTTGTTAAAACCAAGTGCCATAACTTTACAATTTTTCTGGAAATTAAAAGAATTCATTTCTGTGTACCTAGCTTATTACTTAGCAGTCAGTATGCACCATTGTTTATGGTGATGGATCATTGAAGCAATAGCTTCAAAGAAAACTGAATCCACATTTCTTAACAAAATAAATATAAGTCCAGAGAAGTAGAGCAGATGTGCTAAGCCTGTGGAGATGTGATAGGCGGCTAACCCTTGAAACAGTAAAAGAATCAGAAGATAACAACTGTTTGGATCACATAAAAGGTTATCAGTGTTAAGATTTGGATAAAAGGGAATGTAGAATGGTGAAAGTTTACTGCTAATGTAATGTTACAGGTGGTAATATTTAGACAGCTTATAAACTCTAGGTCTTTAACAAATAAATTGACTAAGGATATATAAATAATATACACAAAATAAGATAGTGAAGTATGAAGGGAAACACTGATCTTCTGTATCAGGAATGCCACCCTCCTCTTTGATAACTTTTTTCTGATTTGGCAAAGTTGAAGTCAAACTGGTATTGGCTTCTGTTGCGGCTAGCATGGTAAGTAAACTGGCACAGTCTCTTTGAAAAAAAGTTCCACAGTGTTTTCATTTATTTAAAGTTGAAGACCTGTTCCTTTTGGGTTCATGAGTGTATAAAGGAGCTGTGTGCAGGCATATTTAGGGAAAAGACCGTCTGCACACCCTTTGATAGTTGAGATTGCATGTGCACTGAGACTTCTAACAGGAAAACTCTCTCACGTTTCCATCTTACTCAATCCATCACTAGTGTTCAGCAGTGTGAGTTGTATAAATCACTCCTTACTGTCATTAAGTCTTATTCTTTGTTATCATGTTGATTCAAGGCTCAAGATTTTTCCATTAAGTGGTACTAACACCAAATCTGAATAATGCCTATACTGAAGCCACAGAAATTACTCATTTTAACTACAGTGCCCTTGCTTACCACCTTTAAACACTAGGTGACAGTGAAGCTATGGAACTCATTCCACAACAATTTCAAAACTTGGGTTGGCCTGCAAAATAATTCCCTAATTTCACATAGCTCTCAAACGCCTTTCAGATTTCTTCAGCAGTCACTTTCAAGCCTCTTCATTTTCTCAGTGAGTCTTCTCAGGCCCTCTGATTCCTAATCCCTTAGTCTTTTCCCCCACTCATCCTTACTTGCTGTCCAGCCTAAGCAGCTTCTCTCATTCTCTCTACTGCCACTGAGCTGCCTGTAAAGGGGAGGTCCACCTCCACCTGCTCACAGTGCCCTCTTTCAGAGCCATTTTCTTTAGCTAACTGTGATAAAACATGGCTTTCCCTTAATAATTTGAAACAAAACCTTTTGTTTAAATAGTTAAGGGAGTTTCTTGCCAGTGTTAAAGATTGATAAAGAGATATTTAGTATCTATAAATTTTTATGGCTCTGATTTTTTTTTTCTTAAACTGGCTTGGTATCTTACGGAGATGAATAGTCATTTTCACTGACTGTCCTAAGGATACCATTGTCCCTCATTGCAGATAAGGCCATCACCTATGTGCCTTAAAGGCCAATCTTCTACTGGCAGCTGCAGCAGCAGTAGCTGAGAACGCCCTAATCTATCTTTTTCCTTTCTTTTCCTCACTTCTAACTGTAGGGAAAGCATCCTCAGCGCACAAAGGCAGAGTTGCAACCTAGGTGTATGTCTGACCACCTGTCCGCCAAACCCATGAAGCGAGAGGTGAGTATGTGTGAGAGTAGAGAGGAGCCAGAAGTGTTCAGAAAGGATGGGTCCACTTTATTTCATGTACTTTTGTTCACACTTCTTTCTTTACTTTTAATCTCAATTTTTAAAAGCTCAGTTATGGAACGGTCTAATGTACAATACATTTCTAGAAAGAAAAGGAATTATAAAGACTTTTTTTTTTTTTTTTAGAATTACAGACACCAGGCATAAACTCATCCATATTTAATGCGGCTAAAGTTTTGAAGGGGGATGGTGAGGATAGAGTTTGCAAGGCCACTATAGTAGTAATAAAAACAAAGCCAGAGCCAGGATGTAATATATAGTTAGTGAGCTGGGTATATTTGGATGTGGCTGTCATATAAGGTATGTTGTAATATACAGGCGGAAGAAAATGCTTGATTAATGAGATTTTGAGGTCCCCTGACTATTAGCGTATGTCTTCAGTAGGCAATGGGAAGGGAAATGATGTCATTAGAACTTTGTTTTAGGAACATCTGTCTGGTATCATCTTGATAAATGACTTTGGAAGTTAAACTAATGTAAGAAATCAGTGAATGATATTTCCAGGAAGAAATAGCAGTAGAATCCCTGCTATTGGAAATACTGATCTAGAGTGGAGAAGTTGACCTTTGAGAGGGGAAATAACTTCATTAGAGAGTGGTAGGTACAGGGATCATTTTGCAAGAGGTTGAGTAGTGAGTGAGAGAGGAGTTCTTAGGACCTTGACTTTGTCCTTTCTGAGAAGTGACTGAAAGAAAACAAATCATGAAAAAGTTAGAGGAAGCAGGATTGAGGGAAGTTTGTAGAAGGTTCCTGTTTTGTTTTTTAACTGGAGAGATAGTGTGGGCATGAAAGATTTAGGAGAGATAGTGTGGGCATGAAAGATTTAGGATGTGCCCAAGTCTCTAGTAAGACAGTGCTTGAGAGGCAAGGTCTCACCATGGAGTCAAACTGCCCACATTTCTAAGACACAAACTTGAGTGGGGACAGGACAATGTTGTGAATATCTGTTATCTGTTACTCTGTCCTCTGAAGGAAGTGGAGGCAGAATGTCAAATGAAAAGGGAATGTCTGGGGTAACATCTAGGTTTTCCAAGCTGTACCCAGGAGCAATTATGTTAGGGTATTTTCCCTTTGGGAGTTCAGTGTTAAGTGACTTTAGCATCGCTCTTGTAGGAAGGGACAAATCTGTTATTAGTAACTAAGATTTAAAAATTGGCAAGGTGGGAAAGGAATGAGACCTGAGGGCTCTAAAATGAAGGAAGGGGGCCTCCCCGGTGGCGCAGCGGTTGAGCGCTGGGTTGCGAAGCTGCCCGCAGCCTCAGCGGCACCGGTTCAATCCCCGGCTGCTCCCCGGCCACCGGAGGAGGGTCCCACATGGTGCGCAGACCTCTCCTGCCACCCGCTGCTCCCCTCAGCAGTGTACTTCAGTCCTTCTGCCTGCTCTGCTCCCCGCTCTGGCTCTGGTGAATTCTCTCACCCTCCCACGCTTCTGACTGTACCCAGTGCATGTATAAACAAAGCAAACAAACAAACAAATAAATAAATAACATAAAAAAAAAAAAAATAAAATGAAGGAAGGTAAGGACAAACAGAACGTAATAAAGGATGAAGCCAGGACTAAGGAGGAGGCAGTCAGAGTGAAAGTTCATACTCAATGCTGGCCAGTTCTCACAGCCGGTTTTTTAAACCATTTCTCTCCTTTTAGCATGTTTGAATATTTAAACAGTCATAGAAAGTCTCCTGTGTAAGGAGACAGTAGGTTTACTGTAGTCCATGCCTTTGGCTAGCCTGTTGCAGTACGCACCCTCTTAACTGCCTTGCAGTACTTACTTACTTTTTTAACATGATGGCACATTACACAGATCTTGTCATTCAGGTATTCTACATTGGGGTGTGAAAAGGAAAAAACTAGTTAGAAATTTTTAATTAATTCTTTAGATTTACCCTTTATGTATTTGTTTTTTCCATATCATAGAGGTGTCCTTGCCAAGACATAAATTGCCTAACATTTAATTACCTCTGGATTGGCAATTTTCCCTCCTGATCAGAAGGGTTATTGGGCTGATATAACAAGGTTTGAGGAAGGCACATAACACAAAAATGCATGAACACCCAGTCATCATCCTTAAAAACCAGAAAAGGATCCTGGATTGGCAGTTCCATCATGACTGACTTCCGATTGCCCCAGTCTCTTCTTGACCCAAGTACTCACTAATTTTGGAATGGCTTTTGGCAGTTGGTATCCAGCCATAGTTCTCAAATGGTTTTCTTGCTCAACTTGCCTCATTGGGTCCTCTCCATAATTTTTATTACCTTGACACTTAACTCCCCCATGAATCTTTGGCCAAGTCCCAAATACCATAATTTACATTCCAGATTTCATAGTAGTTTGAATACAGACCAAAAGGTTCCTTCTTTTTTGGTGCAAGTAAAAGCTTAACTTAAAATGCTAAAATGTCTTTTGGTTAATCTTAATAGTATTTCCTTTTCTTTTAAATTCTCTTATTTTAGATGTATGTAACCGTGCATGGTGTTAGATTCTGAATATGGTATGGTATCAAGTGTATGGTAGAAAACCTTAGTTGTAGCGTCCGTTTTGCCTTTTTGTTTAAACAGTAGAAATTCTATAGGCCCTTGAAATCTTCCAGGCAGGATTCCTGACCAGACTATTTTGGTCATGCATAAGTCCAATCTTAATGTCTTTTAAAAAATCTTTCAATTGTGGGCCTCCTCGGTGGCGCAGCGGTTGAGTGCTGGGTTGCGAAGTTGCCTACAGCTTCTGCAACACCAGTTTGATCCCTGGCCACCGGGCGAGGGTCCCACATGGCGTGCAGACCTCTCCTGCCACCTGCTCCCCTCAGCAGTAGACTTCGGTCCTTCTGCCTGCTCTGCTCCCCGCTCTGCCTCTGGTGAATTCTCTCACCCTCCAGCGCTTCTGACTTTACCCAGTGCTTGTATAAATAAATAAAATCTTTTTTAAAAAAAATCTTGCAATTTAATAAGAGGAAAATATATAGCAATAGATGCTCACATCAAGAAACAAGAAAGAACTCAAAGAAACAACCTAATCTCGAAACTCAAAGATCTAGAAAAAGAACAACAAAAAAGCCCAAAACCAGTAGAAGAAAAGAAATAATAAAAACCAAAGCAGAAATAAATGAAATCGAAACTAAAAAAACAATCCAAAAGATCAATGAAACCAAGAGCTGGTTCTTCGAAAAAACAAATAAAATAGATAAACCCCTTGCCAGGCTCACAAGGGCAAAAAGGGAGAAAGCACAAATAAATAGGATAATAAATGAAAGAGGAGAAATCACAACGGACACAGCAGAAATCAAAAGAATTATTAATAACTACTATGAACAGTTATATGGAAACAAGTTTAACAATCTAGAGGAGATGGACAAATTCCTACAACTCTACAATCACCCAAAGCTAGATAAAGAAGAAATAGAACACCTAAACAGACCAATTACAATTAGCGAAATTGAAATGGTAATCAAAAACCTCCCCAAAAACAAAAGCCCAGGACCTGATGGATTTACAAATGAATTCTACCAAACATTCAGAGACGAATTGGTACCTATCCTTCACAAACTCTTCCAAAAAATTGAGAAGGAAGGTATAATACCTAACACGTTCTATGAAGCCAACATTACACTAATACCAAAACCGAACAAGGACAACACAAAAAAAGAAAACTATAGGCCAATCTCCCTAATGAACACTGATGCAAAAATCCTCAATAAAATTTTAGCTATCAGAATCCAACAGTGTATCCATAAGGTAATTCACCACGACCAAGTAGGATTCATTCCAGGGACACAAGGATGGTTTAACATCCGAAAATCAATCAACGTTATCCAATACATCAACAAAAAGAAATATAAAAACCATATGATAATATCAATAGATGCTGAGAAAGCTTTCGACAAAGTGCAACACCCATTCATGATAAAAGCCCTTGAAATTCTTGGGATACAAGGAACGTACCTCAACATCATAAAGGCCGTATATGACAAGTCAACAGCCAGTATCATTCTCAATGGTGAAAAGCTGAAAGCAATTCCATTAAGATCTGGAACAAGACAAGGATGTCCACTCTCACCACTGCTTTTCAATATAATACTGGAAGTCCTAGCCAGAGCAATAAGACAAGAGAAAGACATCCAAGGAATCCAAATAGGAAAAGAAGAAGTCAAACTATCACTCTTTGCAGATGATATGATAATATACATAGAGAACCCCAAAAACTCCACAGAAAAACTAATTCAACTCATCAATCAGTTCAGTAAAGTGGCAGGATACAAAATCAACACGCAAAAGTCAGTAGCCTTCCTATATACAAACAATAAATCTGAAGAAGAAGAAATCAAAAAAACCATCCCTTTTATTATTGAAACAAAAAAAATCAAATATTTGGGAATAAATCTAACAAAAGAGGTAAAGGACCTATACAAAGAAAACTATAAAACACTGTTAAAAGAAATAGAAGAAGACACAAAGAAATGGAAAGACATCCCCTGCTCATGGATTGGGAGAATAAACATTATTAAAATGGCCATCCTACCAAAAGCAATATACAGATTCAATGCTATTCCAATCAAAATTTCAATGTCATTCTTCAAAGAAATAGAACAATTATTGATGAAATTCATATGGAATCACAAAAAACCCCGAATAGCCAAAGCTCTCCTGAAAAAAAAAGAAGGGAATGGAGGCATCACACTCCCAGACTTCAAACTCTACTACAAAGCCATAATCATCAAAACTGCATGGTATTGGAACAAGAACAGACATACAGACCAATGGAATCGAATAGAAAATCCAGAAATAAACCCACAGATTTATGGTCAACTAATCTTTGACAAAGGAGCAAAGACTATGCATTGGAGCAAAGAAAGTTTGTTCAATAAATGGTGCTGGGAAAACTGGGTCGCTACATGCAAAAGAATGAAGCTTGACCACTACCTCACACCATATACAAAAATCAACTCAAAGTGGATTAAAGAACTAGACATAAGACCTGAAACCATAAAATACATAGAAGGAAATATAGGCGAAACACTACGTGATTTGCATATCAAAGACATCTTTACAGACACATCACCCAAAGCAGTGATAGTGAAGGCAAAGATCAACAGCTGGGACTACATCAAATTAAAGAGCTTCTGCACAGCAAAAGAGACAATAACAAAAACAAAGAGAAACCCCAGCAACTGGGAGAACATTTTTGCACCCAACACTAATGATAAAGGACTGATCACAAAAATCTGCAAAGAGCTGATGAGACTCAACAACAACAAAGAAAATAATCCAGTCAAAAAATGGACAGAGGAACTAAAAAGAAACTTCTCTGAAGAGGAAATGCAAATGGCCAACAGGCATATGAAAAAATGTTCAACATCACTTGCAATCAGGGAAATGCAAATCAAAACTACCATGAGAATAGGGCCTCCCCGGTGGCGCAGCGGTTGAGCGCTGGGTTGCGAAGCTACCCGCGGCCTCTGCGGCGCCGGTTCGATCCCCGGCTGCTCCCCGGCCACCGGAGGAGGGTCCCACATGGCGCGTAGACCTCTCCTGCCGCCCGCTGCTCCCCTCAGCAGTGTACTTCGGTCCTTCTGCCTGCTCTGCTCCCTGCTCTGGCTCTGGTGAATTCTCTCACCCTCCTGCGCTTCTGACTGTACCCAGTGCTTGTATAAACCAAACAAACAAACAAATAATAAATAAATAAATAAGACATGCCTCTAGAAAATTAAAAAAAAAAAAAAAAAAAACTACCATGAGATACCATCTTACACCAGTGAGAATGGCACATATTAAAAAAACTAGCAACAACAAATGTTGGCGAGGTTGTGGAGAAAAAGGAACTCTTCTGCACTGTTGGTGGGAGTGCAAACTGGTCCAACCACTATGGAGAGCTGTGTGGAGATTTCTGGACCTACTAAACATAGAGCTTCCACAGGATCCAGCAATTCCACTCCTAGGTATTTACCCAAAGAACACAGAAACATCAATTCCAAAGAACACCTGCACCCCTATGTTTATAGCAGCGCTATTTACAATAGCTAAGCTTTGGAAACAGCCCAAATGCCCAAAAATAGATGACTGGATCAAGAAGATGTGGTACATATACACCATGGAATATTACTCAGCATTCAAAAAAGATAAACACATGCAATTTGCAGCAACATGGATGGCGTTGGAAGGGATCATGCTCAGTGAAATAAGCCAAAAAGAAAAAGAAAAATACCGTATGGTCTCACTCATAGCAGGAATCTAGAAAACTTAAATAAGGGACCAGGAAAATGAATAACTATAAGAAAGTGAAAATCAAAATCAACAAAAACTATGAACCAGAGACACTTTTTGGGGGTGGGGGGTGGGAGGGGAGGGATTGGGGTCAGAATGGGGGGATTGCAATTGTATGGGGAATATAAAAATAAAATTTATTAATTAAAAAAAAAAAAATCTTGCAATTGTTGCTCCTGGGGAAAAGATTGGCAAAGGAGACTGTCTCTCCAAACCCTGGGATTAGGACTGCGCTGGTTATTTTTGTCGGGAAACTGGACGTTGCTACTGTAGGAGCTCTTTGCAGTGATATAGTCTCAAGTGTGCTGCTGAAGTTGGCCAGGGTGCCAGGGAGTCTGATAACCTGCCTTGAGGGAGGGGGACATGGAGAGGGAGTCCTGGCACTCTGGTTGTAACCACAGATTCTATTTAGTATCCTTTAGTTTATTTCACAGTGATGTTTCCAATTAGCTTCTCTTTAAAATCCCTCAATTCTATCAGACCTATAAAGCATTTAAACACCTAATTCCACCCCATTTGCCAAAGTCTGAAACAGTCCTCTGTCCTCAGGTAATAAGTTGTGTCCTTTAGCAGTGGGTGTTTTCATTAGCATTTGCTTTACCAAAGGATGCAGAACATTAGTATTTCCTTAGTTTTTGTTAGTCACAGTCGTGTATAATATCCCCTTATACCGCTTAAAGGAAGAATATTTTGTATTTTCACCTGCTGTCCTTTGTCAGAGTGAGGCAGAATGCACATATATTCAACATTATATAACTTATGATTTCTATATATGCCTCCGCCCCCCACTTTTTCATTGTGTCAGACTGTAGAAAGCACTCATGCATTTTGCCTTGCGTGAAATTTGACAAAGCTTTGTTTTCCTCTGTCTCCTCCTCCTCTTCCACCACTTTGTCAGATGATGTCCTCAGTATCTGCTTAATGTAATTCACTATACAGCTGAGAAGCGCAGAAGGCTATTTATTCTTTTCTTTTTTTTCTTCTTCTTTTTTTTTGGTTTGTAATTCCATCATAACTTCTCAAATGGGTAAAGATGTTGCCCAAAAGCTGGAATAAGCAAGGACCTGGGGAGTGGGGCAGGGGAGAGGAGAGTGGTTAGAGGGTGATAGCTCGAGATGCATTCTTCGGAGGCTCTGTTTAGTGCCTGTAGCATCCGCATTTCAGAAACATCTAACAAAAACTGCCTGCTCTGCTTTTAGGATAAAGATTTTAGGAACTTTCATACTATTTGGGCTACCAGAACTCCTTTATGAGTACAGAATTACATATTGCAGTGATTACAATGGCTTGTTTTTCATTTTCATCTCTTATTCCAGATTCTTAGTTTGTAGGTAGTAAACTTTTAATATCAGACTCATAGAATTTGAGTGGTAAAAATGTTTTTGAAAAGGGATCTTCATTTTTTTCTCCCCATGATAAGGCCAGTTACTTAGTTTTCTTAGTAAAACATTTTTGGAAATTTACATGAAATGGAAGATTGTTCTTCCTATTGAAAAAAAAAAATCTGTTAAGTAAAACATTCCTAATTGTTTCACCTATAGTAGAATAATTGACGGTATCTTTACTGTGAGGGTGGACTGAATTCTCCTTTGTGCACACCTGATTCATCTTTCTGTGTCTCTGCAACTTAAGTGTTCTCCACTGCAGGCAACAGTTATTAACCTCAATAACAATATTTAAAACTGTTCTAGCTTTTGGGCCTCCCCCATGGCACAGCGGTTGAGGGCAGCGTTGTGAAGCTGTCCGCAGCCTCTACAGTGCAGGTCCGATTGCTGGCCAGCCAGGGAGATAGCCACATGGCATGGCAGACCTCTCCTGTCTTGCCCGCTGCTACCCTCAGCAGTGTATTTCAGTCAATCTGTCTGTTCTGCTCCCCGCTCTGTCTCTGGTGAATCCTCTCACCTTGTGCCTCTGGCCTGTACCCCAGTTCTTGTATAAAAATAAATCTTTTAAAAAATTAAAATATTTTTTAAAAAAAACAGTTCTAGCTTTTGTATCAGCACAAAGTCAAGGGGACAAATTGAAAATAAATTTTTATATATATATTTTTTATATTCCCCATACAATTGCAACCCCCTTATTTTGAACCCAATCCCTCCTTTCCCCACCCCCCACAAAGTGTGCTTCTGGTTCATAGCTGTTTGTTGATTTTGATTTTTTCTTTCTTATAGTTATTCTTTTTCCTGGTTAAGTTTTCTAGATTCCTCCTATGAGTGAGACCATCCGGTATTTTTCTTTTTCTTTCTGGCTTATTTCGCTGAGCATGATCCCTTCCAGCTCCATTCATGTTGCTGCAAATTGCATGGGTTTGTCTTTTTTGAATGCTGAGTAATATTCCATTGTGTATATGTACCACATCTTCTTGATCCAGTCATCTATTTTTGGGCATTTGGGTTGTTTCCAAAGCTTAGCTATTGTAAATTGTGCTGCTATAAACATAGGGGTGCAGGTGCTCTTTGGAATTGATGTTTTTGTGTCCTTTGGGTAAATACCTAGGAGTGGAATTGCTGGATCATATGGAAGCTCTATCTTTAGTGGGTTGAGGAATCTCCACACAGCTTTCCATAGTGGTTGGACCAGTTGAAAATAAATTATTTTAATCCTAGTTTCAGTGTTTTGGACTACAGAATAGCTCAAAATTATATTTGGAAATATTCACAGTAAAATTTTCATGAATTATAATGGTGATGGTCCTGCTTTCCTTTACTTCCCCCCGCCCCCAATTAGATTTCTTAGGTAATCACATTCCCAGTTAGCACTTACGGTCCTCCTACTAATGTGTTGGTGCTGGGAAGCAAGGGGAAATGCTGGCCAGTCTTGAGTAATTTTCATAAATTTCTGTGCATTCACCTTTGTCTCTTTTCTGTATCTTAAAACAAAATGGTAGCCCTTCCCACCAAACTCCAGATTTTATTATTAGTAAAATGTAAAAGTCATTAGCTTCAGAGTCCTGTGCATTATTAAAATTGTAAATTTTTAGTTTAAAGAAGGGTACATTTTAATATTTCTCTTTCATCAAATATTTTCTAAGAATGTTTCTCTGAATTGCCTCAATTTCTTATCTCCAGTCTAGCATAATCTCCCAAAAGAAGGTATTTGCAAACCATATCAGTCAAGAAGCTAATATATAAACAACAAAAATACAGCCTCATTAAAAAATGGGCATCTCAATCTAAATATGCATTTAACCAGAGACATACACGTGGCCAGTAGACACTTGGAAAGATGTTCTATATTGTTTATCATTAGGGAAATGCAAATCAAAACCATACCAGTTAAGATGACTATTATCAAAAAATCAAGAAATAAGTGTTGGTGAAAACGGAGAAAAAGAAATCCTTGTACCTGTTGGTGCAAATTCAAACTGGCATAGCTACTTTGGAAAAGAGTAGGGAGTTGTCTCAAAAAAATTAAAAACAGAACTGCCATATGAGCCATTTACCCCACTTCCAGGTATTTACCTGAAGAACATGAAAACACTAACTCAAAAAGAGATAAGCACCCCTGTGTTCAGTGTAGCACTGTTCACAACAGCCAAGATACTTAACAACCCAAGTGTCTAATAACAGATGAGTGAATTGAGTGTCTAATAAATGAATGTGGTACAATACAACATGACATCTTGCCATTTTGACCACATGGATAGACCTTCAGAGAATTATACTAAGTGAAATAAGGAAAAGGGGCAAATTCTGTATGATTTCATTCATTTGTGGAATATAAAGAAAAAGCAATCAGACGCTACAAAAACAAACCCTAAGACTCTGATATCAAATTGATGATTATGAAAGTGGGAAGGGTATAGCTTGGTGGTAGATGGTGATTGGGCATTTGGCAGTGAATATGTGAAATACAGTGTTGCTGAGGTGAGAGGCAACACCTGACCTCTAAACTACTGTTACTTCAATTTTTTTTTAAAAAGGGGGAAAAAAAGATTATTTCCCAGAGATTGTAGATGTTACCGGGCCAGAAACTTTTACCCTTTTTTAAGTGATTTAATATTAGTGTGCTCATGTATCTACACATTCCTTCTTTCAATGATAAAAGCAACTTGTGGTTATAAAAATTGCCAGCCTATTTAATAATATTTACTGTGCCTATTGAATAAAAATTAAATCTTAACTATCCAAAGAGGTGATCTTGTGTTTCTGTGTATTGACTCTTTATACTTTTTGGCTCTTCACAGGAGACACCTGTACTTACCAGAATAGAAAAACAGAAGCGCAAAGAAGAGGAGGAAGAACGTCAAATTCTTCTCGCAGTGCAGAAGAAGGAGCAGGAGCAGATGCTGAAGGAAGAGAGGAAACGAGAGCTGGAGGAAAAGGTCAAGGCAGTGGAAGGTATGTGTACTCTTTGAAGCACCATATGCAAGAGAATTAACCTCCTCGTAGTCAGAACTAGTCTTTCTCAATTAACTAAGTTGTCCTGACAGTTCCTATTGAGGTATCTTGTACATTGTTTTGTCTTCATCATCCAGATTGATCTAACTTTGCATTTCAGCAAGAGCACTTAGATTTGCTATTGTACTCTTGCTTCCATTTTCTGCTTGTTGCTCTTACCTCTGCTATGTCATTCACATAGAATAGGAAAAAGTAGGGAAAAAATTAATTTTCTAATGACAACTAATAGCACAAATAATTACAAACACATGAAATATCCTTTAAAAAGTCTTAGCAGGGCCTCCCCAGGTGGCACAGCGGTTGAGCACTGGGCTGCGAAGCTGCGTGCAGCCTCTGCAGCGCCGGTTCGATCCCCGGCCACCAGCGAGGGTCCCACATGGCGCGACAGACATCTCCTGCCATGCCCGCTGCTCCCCTCAACAGTGTATTTCATCAATCTGCCTGTTCTGCTCCCCACTCTGGCTCTGGTGAATTCTCTCACCCTCCCTCGCTGCTGACTGTACCCAGTGCTTGTATAAATAAATAAATAAATCTTTAAAAAGTCTTAGCAATACTTTATTAGATGTGCTATATAAATTTTAATAATATCATTAATGTTACTAGAACAAAACCGTTTTTTCAGACTTAGGTTCAGATCTCGTCTTGATATAAGGAGCCTTTTCTTTCATTTGAATTGAAACAAACACTCACCACTGCGCCTGGGTGTATGAGAGAGGAGCTTTGTATGTAAGCAGGCCTAATGAATCATGCCATAGAAGGTCACTTGATTTGGTTGAGTACAGACCAGTTTGTCTTTTCTTTTTAATAAAAGTATTGAATTTTTGAGAAAAAGGAGAAAAAGGAACTCTTCTGCACTGTTGGTGGGAGTGAAAACTGGTCCAACCACTGTGGAGAGCTGTGTGGAGATTTCTGGACCTACTAAACATAGAGCTTCCATATGATCCAGCAATTCCACTCCTAGGTATTTACCCAAAGGACACAGAAACATCAATTCCAAAGAACACCTGCACCCCTATGTTTATAGCAGCGCTATTTACAATAGCTAAGCTTTGGAAACAGCCCAAATGCCCAAAAATAGATGACTGGATCAAGAAGATGTGGTACATATACACCATGGAATATTACTCAGCATTCAAAAAAGATAAACACATGCAATTTGCAGCAACATGGATGGCGTTGGAAGGGATCATGCTCAGTGAAATAAGCCAAAAAGAAAAAGAAAAATACCGTATGGTCTCACTCATAGCAGGAATCTAGAAAACTTAAATAAGGGACCAGGAAAATGAATAACTATAAGAAAGTGAAAATCAAAATCAACAAAAAACTATGAACCAGAGACACTTTTTGGGGGGTGGGGGGCGGGAGGGGAGGGATTGGGGTCAGAATGGGGCGTTTGCAATTGTATGGGGGAATATAAAAATAAAATTTATTATTTAAAAAAAAAAACACAAAGTCAACCATCTTTCAGAAAGTAAAATAAATAAATAAAAGTATTGAATTTTTAAAATTTTGAATAAAACAGCATGATAAGGGTGTGACTTTGTTAATGCAGTGTTTCATTAACAATTCTACACTCACATTTCTAGGGTTTGTTTTGGTTTAGTTTTTTGTTTCTGTTTTACACAGAAGAACTGGGGTATAGGCCAGAGGTGCAGGGGGTGGAGGCCATGGTGAGAGGACTCACCAGAGACAGAGTGGGAAGCAGAACAGGCAGATCTACTGAAATACACTGCTGAGGGGAGCAGCAGGAGAGACAGGAGAGGTCTGCTGCGCCAAACATGGATTAGCTCCCTGGCTGGGGATCGAATTCGGGCCAAAACGGTGATAGTGCTGAGACTTAACCCCTAAGCCCCTTAAACCAGGAGGCCCCTTGTTTAGTTTTGTTCCTTAGTGTTGTTTCTTCGTGTTCCACATGAATAAGTCATCTGATATTTGCGTTTCTCCTCACTTTCTTTGCTTAGCATAATTTCATCCAGTTTCACACATGCCTTTGCAGTGGCAATATTTCATGTCTTTTTATAGTTGAGTCGTATTTCATTGTGTGTCTACACCACATTTTTAGCCACTCATCTGCCATTTGGGCACTTCAGATTGTTCCCATAGCTTGGTATGGTAAAATAGTGCTGCAGTGAACATAGGAGTGCATCTTTCTCTTTGAATTAGTGTTTTTGCATTCTTTGACTCTGTACCAAAGAGTGGGATTGCTGAATCATATGGTAGATCTTTTTATGTAGGGGCGAGACCAGTCTACATTCTCAGCAGCAGTACACAAGAGTTCTGTTTTCTCCACGCCCTCACTTAAGTCTGGGTTTTTTGTGGTACATTCTCACATATGTGAGGTGGTATCTCATTGTGATTTTGATTTGTATTTCCCTGGTAAGTGATGATAAGCATTTTTTCATGTGACTATGACCCATCTGTATGTCTTCTTTGAAGGAATGTCTACTTAACCCTTCTGCCCATTATTTGATTGGGTTGTTTTCTTTTTGTTAAGTTGTATGAGTTTTTTGTAAATCTTGGATGTTAGCCCCTTGTCGGATGTATGATGTGCAAATATTTTCTCCCATTTGGTAGGATATCTTTTTACTTTCATGATAGTTTTTTGCTGTGCACAAGCTTTTCAGTTTAATGTAGTCCCATTGGTTTATTTTTGCTTTTGTTTCCCTTGTCATTTGAATCTAGTCTCCAAAAACATCCCTGGAGTGTTTGCCTATGTTTTTTTCCTCTGTGTTTTATAGTATCAGGTTTTATATCCAATATAAAAAGAGTCCTAATATATTTTACAAAATGAAAAAAAATTGCAGTCAACTAGAAAATGGATTATTTGAGCAGCCAAATACTGTTCTTGAGTTATAAAGCAAAATTGTTAAGATTTGATAGTTTAGTAGTTACTTTAAGCTTGAAACCAGAATTCTCTTTTTAAAAGAAAATCTATTAAAAGTTGTTCATAGCAAAGTTCCTATAGTTTATTACAACAGATTAGATTATTTACAAGTAGAATAATCCAGAAACAGAAACACAAGTCAAATGGAACATGACGGGGAGAACACTGTTTTCAGAGTCATGTCATGCTCATAGCTAAGCAGGCACATGTGGTGCCTGTCCCTTGGGGATAAAAATAGAAGACCTGGGGCCTCCCCGGTAGCGCATTGGTTGAGCACTGGGCTGCAAAGCTGCCCGCAGCCTCTGCAGCGCTGGTTCTATCCCCAGCCGCTGGTGAGGGTCCCACATGGCATGCAGACCTCTCCTGCGCCCTCTGCTCCCCTCAGCTGTGTATTTCGTCAGTCTGCCTGTTCTGTTCCCCGCTCTGGCTCTGGTGAATCCTCTCACCCTCCCACACTTCTGACTATACCTGGTGCTTGTATAAATAAATAAATGAATAAATGAATAAATAAATATTAAAAAAAAAAAGACCTGTCCTGGTTTCTTTCTCCATCTTGCTGTCTTACAGTGTTCCTCATCTTCCTGCCTCCCTTTTACTCCTGACCTTCTTGTTCCCTGCTGGCAGTGAGTGCCCCGTCAGACCAGCAATGGAATGCCAAGTGTGTTTCTCATCGCCATGACTATGAGCCAGAAAAAAATTATCCCTCACTCCCAGTCCCTGCCAATTCCATTTGGCATCTTTCACTTGTTCCCAGCCAAACTTATTACTACCACTGGCTTGGTAGGAACCACTGCCAGTGGTGCAGGTGGGGGTGGGTGGGAAAGCAAAGACAAATGGGTGTGCATGGATGCATTTGTAAATTCAAAACCTATGTGCATATAAAATCCTGTATGTGTTTGTTTTGAGAGTCTGGATATTTTCATTTTTGAAAAAAAGATACAAAAGTCCTCAGGTCATCAAAGAAAAATAATCCTCCGTCTTCTATTTTTTCCCTTTTCTTCTAATTTTGTTTTCTACTTTCCCATCCAGCGCCTCCTACTGCCCTCATCCCCCTTGAACACAGTGTGACTAAGAAAGGGTGTCCTACTCGTTTCTATTTTTCATAAAGCAGCTATAGAAACATCCTGATTTTCAAAAAGAAGATGGCAAAAAATAGCTTCATGACTATTTTGTTCATATTTGTTCATTTTCTCAAAATTACTAAGAACATAAAATTATTTAAAGAATACTTAACTCACTTGTACACTAACACTTCGTGTTCCTTATAGATCGAGCCAAAAGGAGAAAGCTCAGGGAAGAAAGGGCATGGCTGCTGGCTCAAGGGAAAGAGCTTCCCCCAGAACTTTCCCATCTGGACCCTAATTCCCCCATGAGGGAAGAAAAAAAGGCTAAAGACCTGTAAGTATTTAATGAAACTAGTAGTAGCGGCCAGTGTCTTACCAAACACTCAGACATTGTGTTCGGGTACTATTCTCTCCTGATCCTTACAGCAGCCCTGTATGGTCAGCCATAGTCGGTGTTCACAAGCTCCTCATTCTGCTGTACGCTTTCTCGGTATTCTTTAGCTCACAAAAATGCACATAGAGTAAAATAAAACCTGAGGTAGAAAATGCTGTTAAATAACAACAATATCAGATCATAAATTAAGTTCCGGTTCATCTTGGCCATTCCCAACATTTTATATATGAGGAAAATTTTTTTTATTTTTTGCTAAAGGATGCTAACCTTTGCATTGTTATCCTCAGGTGTGTTATCAGTATCAGATGTCTTTTTTTTTTTTTTTTTTAAGTAAAGATTATTCCAAATCTTGATGCAGTCAATTATATGTCTGATTGAATCAAAAGACTTAAAAGAGAAGGTAGTCAAAGTTACTCTTCTTCTTTTCTGATTCACAGCTTTGAGTTGGATGATGATTTCACTGCCATGTATAAAGGTCAGTTCCATTTCCAACTGTTGTATTTCTGATAGATAGAAATACTCCTGTGTGAGTATTAATTAAGCTCTCTGTGCCTCTCAGTTCTAGATGTGGTAAAGGCGCATAAGGATTCCTGGCCTTTTTTGGAACCTGTGGATGAATCTTACGCCCCTAACTATTACCAGATTATTAAGGTAGAGATTTACTTTGCACTTATATATGCTACATCGTCTGTGTCTTTTTTAATTTTTGTTGTTTTTTAGTTAAAGTTCATCTATTACTCCTTGAGAGCCAGGGTATTGGAGACTTGTGAGCAATTCCTAATGGCATGATTCCTTTGCCTCATATGAGGTGTTGTGCCCCCATATATTATAGCTAAATGCTTTCCCGTTTAGGTCCCCATGGATATTTCAAGCATGGAGAAGAAACTGAACAGTGGTTTATACTGTACCAAGGAGGAATTTGTAAATGACATGAAGACTATATTCAGGAATTGTCGAAAATACAATGGGGAAAGTAGTGGTGAGTGGAGAAGGGTTTTGCTCAGGGTACACATTTTACTATACCATTAGCACAGAGCGTGAAGCATCTTCTCTTCGAGAAATACATGCCGAGAGGGCTCAGATTATTTCTCATTAACCTAGAAAGCCAGTCTGGGTCTACATTGTACTTTGTCTGGTAACCACAGACAGTTAACCACAGTCAAGACTGCGCCTGAATGGAATTGATTCTTAAATCATTTTGAGACGTGCACAGAGTAAATCTCTAGCAGTATGTACAACTCCGGGTATAGAAACATGGAATCATTTATTCAGTAGCTCAGTATGCCTTAGTTTTTTTTACTAGGTAGTTTCAATGATTGTATTAATTTTTTTTTTTAATTTAACCTTAAAAATTAAATTTTTACTGGTTTGGGTTAATAATGTTGGAATCACTGCATCATCAGCCATTCGGTCCAGAGCCCTTAGGGCAGAAACCATATGTGGTTTCATCTTGTATCCATAGCTCATAACAAATGCTCAAGTTGACTTAAATTTAGGATTTGCCCCAGTAGCTTCTTTATTGCTTCATTAGAAGAGGTCAACTCTTTTTTTTCTCCCTATAGAATATACCAAGATGTCTGATAATTTAGAGAGGTGTTTCCATCGGGCAATGATGAAGCATTTTCCTGGTGAAGATGGCGACACAGATGAAGAATTTTGGGTCAGAGAAGATGAAAAGCGAGAGAAGAGACGGAGTCGTGCGGGGCGAAGTGGCGGAAGTCATGTTTGCACCCGCTCCAGGGACTCCGAAGGGCCCAGCAGGAAGCAGCAGCCTGTGGAGAATGGGGGGAAGTCCTTGCCACCTGCGCGCCGAGCCTCCTCCGGGGATGATCAGAGCAGCAGCTCCGCACAGCTCCCTCGGGAGCTGGGGACCTCCAATGGCCGAGGCTTCTCCCGTCCCCCGCATTATGGTGGGATGCCCAACCAGGCACCCCTCTTAAACCAGATGGTAAGCGATGGCTTAAATTCTGTTGTGGTTTCAGTTGGCTTCACTTCTAAACTAACCTCTCTGTGCATGGTTGATTTCTTCTCCCCTCATTTGTCCTTCCTTTATTCCTCCTTTCTCCCAATCATTGGTATCTGCAGTCCCAGTGTGGGCAAAAATCGGGATTAAACAATCTTTCTATGTATAAAGTCAAGTAGGATCTGTACGTAAGGTACACCATAGCTGTACAGTTTCATGTTGGGAGCCATTGAGGGGAAATAGGCTGAAAAATGTGCTGAGAGAGGATGAAATAATGGGAAAGATTGAAGAGGACCAGATTGGTCTCACCTTCCCTGGAGAGGCAATTGGTGTCAGTGCAGGTGCTTCCTCACCTCAGCACCCATATGCTAGAGATCTCCACATCTTGGCCACTCTGTCCTAAATCCTTAGTGCATTCACCTTCAGGAAAAGTCCTTTCCTACCTAATACCTGCTTCCTCGCTCTCTCTTTTCTCTTCCTTTCCTCGCTTCTCCTCCTCCAGAGGCCAGCAGTCCCGGGAACGTTCGGTCCTCTTCGAGGGTCAGATCCCGCCAGCTTACATGTGTCCTGTAGAGTCCCCGAACCACACCCTGGAGAGCCTGCACAGCAGCATCAGCCTTTTGCCATGCAGGTAAGCAGCCTGCTTAGAAATACTCTCTCTTCCCTGATTAAATTCAATTCATTATCTCCTGTTCTACAGAATCTGTTACTATAGATTATGTGCCTTACAAGAGATGTTAATTGAGTCTGATGAACTCTCTTGTCTTTGTATCTTCTTGCCAGCCTCCCGTTGGAATTAACAGCCACCGAGGACCCAGGCTAGGCACACCTGAAGAGAAGCAAGTGTGTGGGGGTCTGACACACCTTTCTAACATGGGGTCACATCCTGGATCCTTGCAGCTTGGGCAAATGAGTGGCCCTACTCCGGATGGAAATATGTTTCCTCCAGCTCAATTCCAACCAGGATTTATTCCTTCCAGGCATGGAGGGGCTCCACCCCGACCCCCAGACTTTCCTGAAACCTCAGAAATTCCTCCCAGCCATATGTACCGTTCATATAAGTACCTGAATCGAGTACACTCTGCTGTCTGGAATGGGAACCATGGTGCTACAAACCCAGGATCCCTGGGGCCAGATGAGAAGTCCCCAATGGGGCCAGGACCCTCTCACCAGCCTCGTACTCTCGGTCACATGATGGATTCCCGAGTGATGAGACCACCTCTCCCCCCAAACCAGTGGACTGAACAATCAAGCTTTCTACCTCATGGAGTTCCTTCTTCAGGGTATATGCGACCACCCTGTAAATCTGGTGGACATCGGTTACAGCCACCTCCAGCCCCAGCACCAAGTTCGCTGTTTGGCGCGCCCTCCCAGGCTCTGCGGGGGGTGCAAGGAGGGGACTCCATGATGGATAGCCCAGAGATGATCGCCATGCAGCAGCTCTCCTCCCGCGTCTGCCCACCAGGTGTGCCTTACCACCCCCACCAGCTTACTCCCCCCCATCTACCTGGCCCTTTTCCACAGGTGGCTCACTCACCATCTGTAAGTGTGTCAGCCCCCAAGCCTGTCTTGGGGAACCCTGGGAGGACGCAGGATAGCAGTGACACACACGATCCTGAGAATGACCAAGGTAACTTACACGGCCGCGCCTGCCGCCTTTCGGCTCTTTAAGTTGTTGAGTCATGAGCAGTCTTTATACAGGACGCAAAACCCAACACAAACTGGTTTTCCGCTTTTTTTTTTTCCTCTCTTTGTTTTTCTTGAATAAGGGTTAACTAAGGGTCAACCAATCACCTAGTATTGTTTTTTATGCAAAAATTGAAAAGAAATTGTGATAATGATCGTTATACGGGTGAAGTGCTTACTGTGCTACTAGATACTGTTTTCAAGACTTGTGTATAGTATTTTTTTTTTAAATCTGTTTTTATTTTGGATATATATTTGTGATCTATTGAGAATGGAAGGTAGTGAGAGCTAGCAAATCTTGAAGGAATTTCTGAGAAGTACCATAAGAGAATAAAATGAAACTGGAGGAGAAAGATGAATAAAAGACAATTCATGTAATTAGTGCCTATTTCCAGGATAGATGTCTAACAGGTATTATGTTTAATTTTCTTCCGTCCATGAATAGAGAATGGGGACACCTGGAGTCTTCCAAAATGTGATGAATCTACTTAAAATTTATGTTATTTTTCAAACTTTTTAGGTTTTTTTGTTTGTTTGTTTTTAAGATTTATGCATACAAGAAGGTGGGGTATGGGCCAGAGGTTGGGGGGGGAGGTGAGAGGATTCACCAGAGACAGTGGGGAGAAGAACAAGCAGATTGTGAAACATACTGCTGAGGGGAGCTGCAGGCGAGCCAGGAGAGGTCTTCTGCACCCTGCGGGTAGTTCCCTGGCTGGGGATCGAGTTCATGCTGCAATGGCCGCAGACAGCTTCATAGGTTGCGTTTTAACACCTTGTGCCACTGGGGAGGCCCCTTTTTAGTTTTTTTAATGAGAAAAGGCCTACTTTGGGAACACAAGCTCTAGCAGAATTTCCTACTACTTATTTCAAGTAGTGTCTGAAATTCTAAGCTAGAAAAAGAAAGCCGCTTGTGGAACCTTGGATAAGCTTCTTTGTTGCCATTTTTTCTGTTTACTGAATATTGAAAAATGCAGATTTTAGTAAGAAGACTCTACTTATGGGTTGGTTCAACAGAAAGGTAAAGAATTGTGAGATTGTAATAAAGTATTTAAGTCTAATATTAGTTTCATTGGGTTTATTACATTTTTATAATGTGTTGAAGGTGCCTTTTCTGTTATATGATATAGGCATGTTTTCATGATAGACAGATAAAATGAATATTTTCGTTCATTCAACAGCTATTGAGTCCCCATTTGGTGCGGGTAGTGAGAGGATTATAGGGAACAAAGCAAGGCCCCTGTTGCTCCAGAGCTTATGCTCTGATGAGATAGAACCTTCTTAATACTCGTTATGCTGTGGGCCTTGTGTCAAATTTTAGCCTTCTGCCTGGTCTGCATTTGGGTATGGTGACAGCTGAACACCCTCCTGACACATTCCACATGCATCTGCTTGGAGTCTTTGTGCCATGAACCATTCGCACCCTCTCACTGGCCTGACAGTGACAACGCAGGAGGAAGACAAGAGTATCTTGAAAGGCAGTATGCAGGGGCCTCAAGTTCATGACCTGAAAAGGATTCTAAAAATGCCCGGCTGAGCTTGAATGTTCACCTCTACCCTGACTCCCTTAGCCGACTACTTACCATGCTCTCTGCATTACCACCTTCGTCAGCTATCAGCTATTGAATTATTTTGTTCTCTGTTTTCCTTGGAACAGATACCATGCCTGGTCTTGAGGAGAAACCACCAAGTGTTGGTGCTTCAGAGGGGGTGTACCTCAAACAACTACCTCACCCTACGCCTCCCCTGCAGACTGACTGTACCAGGCAGAGCTCACCACAAGAGAGGGAAGCAGAGGACCCAGACCTCAAAAGTGACTCTTCAGAATCTGGAGACAACTGTAAAGCAACAAAAAGCAAGAGTGCCTGGTCCTCAGATAGCAGCTATACCAGCCCAGCAGCCCAAGGATGCATGAAGGATGTCTCCACTCTGGCAGATAGAGAGTCGCTACCCGAAAATGGAGTGATTGTGGAAGTATCCCCTTGTGGATCACAGGTGAAGGGGCTTGGTGGTGGTGGTTCAGAAAAGCCACTCTGTCCCAGAGGAAAAATGCTGCAGGAAACCATACCATGTGCAGGACAGAACCCAACTACACCTCCCAGTGCAGACCCAAGTTTGATGGGAGGCACTGTAAACCAGTTTTCTCCCTTGTACATGCCTGGCCTGGAATACCCAAATTCGGCTACACATTACCACGTCAGTCCAGGCCTACAAGGCTTGGGCCCTGTCATGGGAAGTAAACCCTCAGTATCGCATCCTCAGCATTTTCCCCCTAGAAGCTTTCAGTCTAACAACCCTCATTCAGGAGTCTTTCCCCGATACCGCCCCCACCAAGGAATGAGGTATTCCTATCAGCCACCACCCCAGCCTTCCTACCATCACTATCAGCGAACTCCTTACTACACATGTCCACAGGGCTTTTCTGACTGGCAGAGGCATCTCCATCCCCCAGGAAGCCCAAGTGGCCCAGCTCCTAGCCAGCCTCCCCCACCAAGACACCTCTTCTCAGATAAGAGCACCGTGGCCGGTGTGCAAGGCTGTGAGACACTGAATGCTGCCTTAACTTCCCCAAGCCGAATGGATGTGGTGGCTGCTAAGGTGATTGCAAATGATGGGCAGAATCCTGGTCCAGAAGACGAGAAGCTGGATGAATCTGTGGAGAGACCAGAGAGTCCCAAAGAATTTTTAGACCTGGACAACCATAATGCAGCTACCAAGCGACAGAGTTCACTGTCAACCAATGAATATCTTTATGGAACTCCTCCTCCACCTCTGAGTTCAGGGATGGGATTTGGTTCTTCTGCTTTCCCTCCCCATGGTGTGATGCTACAAACAGGGCCTCCTTACACACCGCAGCGGCCCACCAGCCATTTCCAACCCAGGGCCTACTCGTCTCCTGTAGCTGCTCACCCACCTCACCACCCAGCAGCTGCCCAGCCTAATGGCCTCTCTCAGGAGGGCCCCGTCTATCGCTGTCAGGAGGAAGGCCTGGGTCACTTTCAAGCTATAATGATGGAACAAATTGGCACTGGAAGTGGAATGAGGGGACCTTTCCAGGAAATGTACAGACCATCAGGGTAAGATTTCATTAGGTTGGGTTTGTTTAATTGAACAAACATCAGTTTATAATGTTAAATAGGTTCCAGGTGTACAGCCTTAAACACCAACAACCGTATATACCACATTATGCTGACCGCCAGAGGTCTAGATTCCACCATCACCATACAGTTGACTTCACCCTTCTATCCAATTTACAAACGCCGTCCTCCACTTCTGGTAACCACTGTTTATTCTCTTATAGTCTTGTTTTTGGTGTGTGTTGTTTTCTTATCTACTACATATGAATGGAATCATACAGTGTTTGCCTTTCTCCTAACTTATTTCAGTAAGCATAATACCCTCTAGGTCATCCATGTTGCTGCTTTGTTAATATTGGAGGCATTATAGAAATAAATTAGCCTTAGAGTTCAGTTTTAAGTTAGGCATTATTTTCCCCCTCATAAAAATAAATTGGCATTTAAATAACTGGTTAAACTTTGATATTAAAAACAAAATAATCATGGATTAGGAGCTGTTGGCAAAGGCTTGGACATTACTGCTGAATTCATCCACCTTGAACAAAGTAAAAGAGGTCATTGGTAATATCCAGGTTTTACTCCCTGTCTCTCATTCCCCTCTCATTGAATGAAGAATCTAGATTCATCAGAATTGGAACAAGTCAAATCCTGTCCTCGTGAGAATTCTCAGTTAATAATGCTTTTAAGACCCACCAAGGTTAAAAAAAAGGGGGGGCTCTGAAACCTTATAAAAATAGTACTGCCCAACTTATAAACCAGCATGCCCCTCACCAATACCAAGCCCTTCCCCCTAACATGTTGCCTTATTTGTTTTATACCCTTCTAAAAATATTCCTTTCCTTTGCTTTGTTTTCTAAATCATTGAAAAGTAAGTTATAGACATCATGACCCTTTACCTCTAAGTACTTCAGTATACATCTCCTAATAGGGACATTCTCCCAGACACCATCTCAAAGTGTTACCACACCCAAGGAAAATGGCATCAGTGGTGTCTAAGAGAGTCCTTGTTTACTTTCTGCTGTTATCCCCAAGATGTCTTTTTTTTTTTTTTTTAAGATTTATTTATTTATGCGTACAAGAACTGGGGTGTAGACCAGAGGTGCAGGGGATGAGAGGATTCACCAGAGACAGTGGGGAGCAGAACAGGCAGATCAACTGAAATACACTGCTGAGGGGAGCAGTGGACAAGACAGGAGAGGTCTGCTGTGCCATGTGGGTAGCTCCCTGGCTGCTGGGGATCAAATTCATGCTGCAGTGGCTGGCGATAGCTTGATAGTGCTGTGTCTTTAACCCCTGCCCCACTAGGGAGACCCCAAGACATCTTTTTTTTTTTTTTTTAAAGATTTATTTATGCACACAAGGGCAGAGATGTGGGGGATGAGAGGATCCACCAGCGACAGCAGGGAACAGAACAGGCAGACTGACTGAAATACACTGCTGAGGGGAGCAGCAGGCAAGACAGGAGAGGTCTGCCTCGCCATGTGGGTTTCTCCCTGGCTGGCCAGGGATCGAACTCGTGCTACAGAGGCTGCGGACCACCTCATAATGCAGTGCTCAACCCCCTGCGCCACCAGGGAGGCCCCCCAAGATGTCTTTTATAGTTGGTTGGTTGTCTTTTTCCATCCAGCATCTAATCTATTTTGTGTATTTACATGTGTTTGCTATGTTTAGTCTCTTGATTTGCAACTTTTGTCCTATCACTGGTTTGTTTTCTTTGTTTTATAAGACTCCAGGCCAGTTCTCATATAGTGCATTCCAAATTAGATTCATTTCATTTTCCCTTGTCTTTAGAATCAGACCCTTGTCTTTAGAATCAGATGAATCGCTTCTCGGCCTTTTGGCTAAGATCAAGTGTAGAATCAGATGAAACCGCCCTGTGGAGGTGATAAATGCCGTACTTAACACATCACACCAAGAGGCACATGATGTCAGTGTGTTGATGATTTCAAGTTTGATCTCCTGCATAATTAAGGCAGTGTCACCTGAAAGCTGCTTGAATAGTGTCTTCTTTTGCAAGCTGTATCTTCACTAACTCTTCTCTGTTCCTGTCTTGTGACTCTAGAATGCAGGTGCAGCCAGCCCAGGCGCAGTCCTTATTCCCAAAGACCCCAACACCAGCAGCATCCCAGGAAGAGCTGCCCCCACATAAGCCCCCGACAATTCCTCTTGATCAGGTAAAAGTTATCAAAAATTAGAGTTTTTCTTATTCCTCCAGATTATAGGAAATTGGCCCATGACTTCATTGCCGTTCTGAAAAAAACCTTTGAACGTGTCCTGTTGATGAAGGGACTTTCCCTGGGAAGTGCTTCCAGTCCTGCAGGCAGTTGGTTGTAAGGTCTAGTCAGGCTCTGTGCTCACTGTGACCTGGCAGTGGGGAAGATTGGGAAAGGAAGACCTGGGAAGTAGCTTCTCTGCTGTTTGCCTCATGTTCCTTTTCCTGTGCTCATGGTAACCAGCTGTTTGGGGATTATTTAAACCTCATTTCCCCAAACTGGCTTCCAACATTTGTCATGATATGACACCTTGTCTGTTTTTATAGACACCAGTTTCATTTGAGGGATACCTGTCAATCAGATTCCAAAATAATACTAGGAGCTGCCTTCAAGGACTGCTTCTGCGCCAGCCCCAGAAACTCGTTGCTTCTCCATGTATGTTGCTTCTCCATGTATGTTTCCTCTCATCTCTTCCCGGACCCCCATAAAGAAATTGCCGTCCTTCTTCCCGAGTGTGCGAGAAGTCCTGCAGCCCCTAAGTGATGGGGCTGGGGCTTGAGTCAGAGATGGAGGACTGTAGCGTTTCACCCTCTGGAAGCAAACTGTGGCTGCTGGGGCTATATCAAGTCGTCTTCCCAAATACAGAGAAACAACTCTGGTTTGTTAAAACAGTTTGTAGCAAGTTTTTAATTTTGTTATACTGGTCTTTGTTTCCTCAGAGCTAGTCCATGGAGGAAATAACCCCCAAGGAAATGGAAAGCTGCACATGAAGACTGGAACACGGAGAATGTGGGGTGCGATCCTCCCATCTCTCTCCCTACCACCCGCCACACCCTCCACGGAGCCATTGCCAGGGCCCTAGAAGCACACTCCCCAGATCACTAGCGCAGCTCACATAGCACCTGGGTCAGAGCTGGATCTCTTGCATAAATAATAGACTGTCAAGAACAAACGAACTAGAAGTAGTGATGGCTTTTCAAGTCCTGAGGCTTGTCCAGGGGAATCATCTGAAGCTCGGGGGGGCAGGGGGGCATACTTGAGAATGGAGTGGTGCTTGTAAACTCTCATGAGCAGCTAAACTCAGGTATATATTTGGGGAGGGACTACTCGTAGTATTAATGTGTTTGGAGCTGGGTCCAGTTTACAGAATTTTCATGTTGCCTTTAAAATAAGTTTTGTTGTTGGTGGTGAATGTATTGTACATAGAATGGGAAGGGTGGGTGGGGATGTGGAAGAAATGGAAATCCTAACTGGTGGGCATGCAGCACTGGAGTGATCCTTACCTGTTTACAATCGTGTCACACTGAGTATCTGAGAGGCGGAGAAGAGGGTAGGAGAGGTTTCATCTTGTAACACATTAACTGTGTTTCCTCAGTGACCAGCTGGCCATTTAAGAGCTAAGGGCCTTCCTTCCAGTCAGCCTGAAAGAGTCCAGTTACACCGCCCCTACCCGTGTGGTTTCTCATTCATCATGGAGGCAGAGTGCGCTCCTTGGCACCGCCTACCAGAAGCTTCAGTCCGGAAGACGGGCTGCCCATACCCTGGATTCCAGAGAGCAATACCCTTCCTAATTTTGCCACCAGCCCTACCAGATAGTTGCAAGCCAATACCAGGGATTGGGATCACTAGAGTGTTTTGCTTATTAGAAGGTAAAATGCATCATCCTCTTCACAGACCTGCCAGGACTGTGATCTGGAAGGCATCACACAAAGCTTTCTGGCACGAATCACATTTTGTGGAAGTGACTACTCAGGTTTGTATATGTTAGTATCAATAAAGAAATTGCACAGTTTTGAATAGGAGAAATGTATTCTATAGATTTACAGTTTGAATTTAGGAATATTTCAGTATATATAGTTTTTATTCATTTTAAGTGGATTATAGTAAAAGAAGTCATGGTGATTTAAAATAGCTATCAGGAACAAGTTCTTGGAAATCATTTGTCATATCTGTGATAGGAAACAATTTTACAGTATTAAATTACTTTTTTACAGTTTTAGAAGTGAATTACACTGGATTTGCCCTGTCTAGCATTCTGTATTTGATTTTAGCTGAGATGCCACCAAAGTTAGGGCCCATGTCTTAAACTTCTGAATATCCCACAAAGGGGAAGAAGAAGAAAAAAAAAAAAAAAAAAAAAACTAAAAAATGCCCTGAAATTAGAGGTCTTTGTACAGATATTTTTAAGCATGTCTTTGGGATAGTAGGAAAACTTCCATAAAATATTAATCTGCTCTAGTTTCTTACAAATTCAACTGTTGGAGAGGTGAATAGAACTTTCCCAATTCCCGCATCCTTCATGACATGTGGAACTGTCATGTTGTAAATTGCTAGACATGTACCATCAGCAGGAAAAGAAACATGGGAAACATCAATGTTAGATGAATGGAGCCCCCAAGATTCCAGCTCCAGGGTCATGGAGACTCCCCGTGGATAAGTGAGTAAGCGGACGCTTGCTGACCTGACAGCCCAGGCAGGACTGAGTTGAGCAGGGAACACAGATGTTTCTAAGACAGGATGCACAAAAGTCCGAATTATCTCCAACAGACTTTGATGTTAAATCTGGTGTGCTTTTAAGTGGAATGAGTTCTGAGGCTGCGACCTCATTTGATCCTAATCCTTGCTAGAAACCTATCACTGGTGTGATCTAGTTTAAAAGAGTGAAGAGGTCAGTGTCATCCTTGCAGGAAGATCGGAGTGGAGGGTCTATGGGCAGGTCTTGGTCAGCCCTTGAGCCGGTGTAAGCCAGCGTGGTTGCAGCCTCATCCCGTCTGTTTTCCATGTTTGTGCAAAAGCAGGGAGAAGGAGGAAAAGATGGACTGGACTTAACAGGTCTTTGGACCTGGTTAGACCTGTGTAGGCTAGAGCATCCTGCCACTGACAGCCTTTCTCGTTTCACAGGGAAGCTGACTTGAGTGAGGACCTCTCTCCCCTCCCTAACAGGGGCAGAGTAACTACAGGCTCCCTTCCCCAGGTGCCAGAGCTGAGGGGTTGCCTTATGCTGAAGAACCCTAGGGTGAGGACAGGAGTGAGCCCTGAGCAATAGTTGGGCAGATTTTTGTACCCTTTTCTTCTGCTCTGGTGATATTAGAGCAGCTGGTACCCACTGTTCAAGGTAACCCTTTCTCCTCACTCCCCTGACCCCTAACTCCAGTTACCTGTTGCTAAAGAGAAGCTGTGAACAATATAGGAAGAAATCAGTAAACTCCTTTATCCTTAATCTCCCTTCTTCGTATGTAGAGGAGCGAGAAGACATTAAGGAGGAGCCATAGGAAACTGAACTACTGTATTGTATTATAACACTGTGAACAAGGGCAAAGGCAAGATTGTCAGCCTTGTCGCATCCCGTGTGGGAATTGGGTCGTGCATTGCACGTACCGCTGGTTCATCCTTTGCCTGATGTATCCTGAGCTTTTGCTGGTCTTTGAAGTTTCGATCTGCTGAAAGCAGCCAGGAGCTGCAGGACTGCAGGCACACCCAGGAGCTGCTGCGAGCCGCTGCTCCAGCCCCGCCAGCAGGGGCTGCGTCCCCATCTTCTCTCTCTTCCCTAGCACTTCTTTCTCCAGGTGTCTTAAGCAGATGTGAGTGCGTTTGCCGTCTTCTCTGGCTGGGAACGATGGCTGGGTGGTGTGCTGTAACTAGAAACGTGTGTGTCAGGAGGTCCTGAAAAGATCTGCTCTCAGGTTAAAGGACTTCACACTGTGGTGCCCGCCACCTTGCCACGCCCCTCCGTGGCCCAGGAGGGACAGCAGAGATGGAGCTAGAAGTACTCTCACACCTATTTGATTTCACATTCGGGGCTAACTTCCATTAGAATTGTTGAGTTAGAAACTGTTCCCCTAAGGCCCAAGAAAAATAAAGATCCAGAAAGAAAAGTAGAGCCTTTTGGAAGTTTTTTTTTTTTTTGGTTTGAGGGGTTCCCCCGCCATCAGGCTATTCATTTGAAAAGTAACTATGGGCTGACATTTATTATGGTAGATGCCTGCGGAAAATAAACACAGACAAAAGATTCTGATTGTGTTCATAGAGCTTTTTCCATCTCACATTTTAGGAATAAAATTAAAGCCACACCATCTCCCTCATCGGATTGGTTTAGCTCCTCTAGTAGTCCGCATGAGCTCAGTTCATTCACAGTCCCTGTATTCTCGGGGAGCCTAGCTCAGCGTTGCCAGCAGGCAAGCTTTTCCATGCTTGCCTTGATGGCTGGTGATTGAAATCCTTGAGGCCCATATTTAATGACCCTCAGCTCAGTCAGACCTTCAAGTGCTCCTCTTGACTACGGTGTGGCGTCACTACCCCGTGGCATTCACTTGCTGCGTTCCTCACGCTCTGGAGTAAAGTCTCTCACGCCCGCCCCAGCGCCACAGCTGCCACAGCCGGCAGAGGCCTTTTCAGTCCATACTACTTGGTTGAACTTTCTTTTTAAAAGTTTTTAATGAAAGTTAACATCTATAAATAAAACTCTTGGTTGAGCTGCTTTTAATTTTTTAGTGAAATTTTAAATCTAAATTATCTGCTCCTAAGACCTAACTTAAAATTTCACAGGCAGGCCAAGGCGGGGGCGGCGACACAGGGCCAGAATCCTCCTCCGCTTTCACAGGACCTCTGTTTTCAAAGAAATGAACATTTTCTAGCCTTTTTGTCCCCTTTTGTGCCTGTCATTCCCCCCCTGCCAGGCTCTGATGGCCCCCAGTGCAATCGCTGGCCCCACGTGCTTGAGTGGAGGCCCGCACCCTCCTGGGGGTGTCTGGGGTGGCATGCAGCATGCCTGTGGTGACCTCTGTGCAGCGCTTCAGGAAGGACACTTGGGATTGGGGTGGAGCGAGCAGAGGCTGTTCCTGAGCTGACTTGGCTGTCCAGAAGCCAAGAACCGGAGACTGGCTCCCTGTTCTTTCCTGTGGGTCAGGCTCCCTACCGGGTACCACGTACCACACAGCCTTAAGACGCTGAGCCTTGCCTGCATTTCCCTGCGGGGCATCAACTGGGTCAGCACCTGGTGTCCCATCTCATACTAAGCTGTGACACTCACTTTGCCTCCAGGCTGGTGTTTACCCTGCTCTGCTTTGTAGGCTTTGGCTAAACAGAGGGGACAGTCTCTCCCCCAGCTAATCTCATTCTGCTCCAGGGGCTGAGCGTACCCTAAAGTGCTTGATAACCAGCTATTGTCTTGCATGTGTATTTGCAAAGGGTGGGGTGGGGTTGGGAGCAGGGTATGGGTATTGAATCAGTCCTTGAAATGCTGAAACCCCCTTGGTACATGCCGTGACCCCTTCTTTTCCCTAGCTGGCACTGGGGTACCTCACTCTCTTGCCTTGCACACAGCTCCTGGGAGCCCAGGCCAGTCTCCACCAGCCTGCGGATCACGGTGTCAGGGATTCTTTGCTCCTGTTGCAAAAAGCCGTGTGAACTTTCCTGGCAGTACTGGGAAGGGGAATGCTATTTATTTTTATATTGTGTATATTTTGTCGTGGTCTGCTGATTCCCTGTTTTCACTGAGAGCGACACTTACCTCAATAGTTAGTTCAATATTGTGTGTTGGATAATTTTTTAAAAGAACTTTTTAAAAAGCTTTTTGATCCTCTGGAGGTCTGTAGATTTATTTCCATATGAACTGGTTATTTTGTATAAAGTACATTCTTAAAATAGCAAGGCTCCAATAAGTGTGAGTTGTGTGTGTCCATGTGTCACTTTTATCATCAGGGCAAACTTCCATCTGGACAAAGGTTTGAAGGAGACCCCAGTGGCATCCCATCTCAACCCCACTTCGTGCAGACAGGCAGTGTGGCAGCGAGCCCTGGGAACAGGGCCAGTGCAGGTGATAGTGGTGTGTGATCTGTAGCGGTTTTATCAAAACAATAATAAAACTGGCAGTTCCACATGCTGTCGGAGGTGAAACACTTTTCCCAGCTGCGCCTGTCAATACCCACCCCGTGTTCCCACACACACGTTGCCAGCCCTTGATGTACCATCTAATACAACTATGTACACTCACTTTGATTTCCTTCCAAACTCTAGGGTGGGCTGGGGGCCCAGGAGGTAGAGTACAGTCCATCCTGGGGAGCAGTGGGCAGCCCTAGTCGGGAGCCATCTGTGAGCTACCACTGACCAGAAGTGGGAGCCACAAGTCCCATAAGTGGTGATTTTATACCTGCCCAATTTTATTCCAGTTCCTGGGCTGGTTTTTGTTACTTGGGAGGGAGAGAACA